ACAGTGTTATGATGAAACAGAAGGAGTACGTGTAAAAATGTAACAAATAAGCAAGTATATATCATTGTTACCCTACATTTGTCACAGATCCCCTCTGTGACAAGGCTTAGCATGGGCCTGTGTTGGAAATAGCACCAACCTAGAGTCGTTTTGCATAGCCCATGGAGAGATTTTGATTGAAACCACCAAATACCCCTGGAATTCCTTTTATTATCACATTCATTTTAAAAGTGATTCTTTTATAAGGCTGCCCCTTATTAACAAAGCACAGATATCAGTAATTCCAGAGGACAATACCTAAGTGCAGTGAAATTCTCTGGAATAACTTCATTCAGAGCAATCCCAGTGGCTTGAAGGCATAACAAGGAAGCAGCAGAGACAGAGCCAAGCTGAAGCAAGGATGGGCTTTGCCCGTTTCACTTCTCTTCATTATTTAAAGGCCATTAGATTCTGAGCAGTAATACACCAATGCATTTGCATAAAATGGAAATGAATTACAAAGGCCTCCAGAAAGTGGTAATGCAGACAACACGAAAAATGTACAAAGCCCTTGCAGAAGATAAAAAGTGAAACTTAAATGAGACTAGTGTTCCATTGTCCCCATTTATTCGAGCAAGAGCTTTCCACAGCCCTAAAATCAAGCCACGGCTGTCTTCCTTTAAGAGGCGGAACGTGCAACTTTGCAAATCCCCATGTGTCAAATTCATTGTTGTTTTTGCACACACTGCATCTTTCTGCTTTTATAAAGCTCTGCTGGCTTGAAACCTTGCCCCCCTCCCTAAAGAAACATCAGTGAGACAAGGGGCCTGACACTTGCTTAAGGAAGCGTATCTTCCTTAATGGCCCTTGTGTGCGGTTCATCTGCCAGTGTCTGCCACCTGCCTCACATGACAATTAAGAGGCTGGGAAATGGCTGGCCGTGTTGCTAGTCATCGGGAAATGGAGGTGTTGCCGACCTAGAAGGGCAATGGAGTTGAGTTGCAGGGCAGCGTCACCCAACACAAGGAACCTGGCAAAGAGGAGTCGGCAGACGCAATGCTGCTGAAGGACACTGGTTATAGCAAGCCTTCTGGAAGTATAAAACTTGAGGGTCTAAACTAGAACATAGGCTGTATCTCATAAAAACAACAACAGCCAGATCAAATGTAAAAAATTGGGTGTTTTTTTTACTAGTCCTATTTTGAATTTGTGTACCCCTCTCTGCCAGCCGCCTATTATTTTTGAAATGTTATTGTCCTTTTTAATGTTATTGTATTGTTAGGGGTCTTGCCTATTACAATGTCTTTTTTAAAAATTTTATTGTTGTGTCTATTCTTCTTATTATATGGTGTTATTTTGACCTTGCTTTGTTAGCCACCCAGAGTAGTGGCTTTGCCACTAGTTGGGTGGGATAAAAATGTAAAGGAATGAATTAATGAATGAACAAAACAGGAAATTAAGTCAGTACCAGCCACTAAACAATGGCGTTGGAAAGAAAACAAAACACAAGTGCTGGGTTCTGTCAACAAGAAGTCAGAAGACCGACACAAATCCTACATGGAATGTTTAAGAAACACAATGTATAAGAAACACAATGTAGCATCGTAAGCAAATCAGGACACTTAGTCTCCTGTAGCATGCAGTTGGCATTTTCATCCAGATGTTTGGATCTCTCATGATGCAAAACCAATATACTATGCTTTTTTGCAGCTGAAGGAGTGACATCTGGAAGTGTTCCGAAAATGTATTACAGAGGCAAACTGATTATATTTCAACTGCTGTGCTGTAAAAGAGATGGGGCCAGCCCAAAAGATGTTGCTGCCTGAGGCACAGTTGCCAATTGCATGCCTCTTCCACATAATTCCACACCTGACCTGTTTTTCTGCGGCGGGAATGCAAACTTTTTCTGCAAGGTAGATTTATAGGCCCCTTGCAAAAAAAATATAAAAACACAACAAAAATAAGATGTGTGATTCATACAGTTCCCGTTCTGATGAAGTACAAAGTGTCCTTTAAAAGTACGATGGTTTAACAGACAAAAGGGCAGAACCTTGGCTTAAGTGGCTGTAAACTAGGAGTGAGCAGTTTCCAGTAATTGCAAGGGCACTGACTCCCTGGAGCTTCCCACAGATGTCAGAAAATTTTGGCTATGCGATAGCAATAACCCTCCCTCTCCTGTACTTTGTTATAAACATCCAGTTTTCATTCTGCTACACTGCCAAATGTTTGTGGTATAGAACAATGTCAAGGAAATCATACTTTTTTCCAGTGGTACAGTGACAAACCGGAAACAGGGTGGGGGAATCAGGTTGTAAAAAGACAGGTGCACATGAAGTTTAGTTTAAGCTCCACAGTGGTAATAATCACCTTTCAGGGGCTTCATTTGGAAATCCTATTTCATGAAATATCATGCAAAGGTCTTCAATATTGGCACCAAGCATGGGATACTACCTCAAAAAAAAATGACTAAAATAAATTCCTCAGCATTCTGAAGTTGAAGCAACTAATATTTCTGAACACTCTTCAAAGACAGATTCACATGGAGTGTGTTGAAGTCTCTCAGGCAGGATGTAACTAAGGCATAATACCATGCATCCATATCAGACATGTCGAAGGCCAAATCAGACCTCTCAAGAAATGGGCACAGCTGGCACATTAATTTTAACTGTGCAAAACCACTCCTGGCCACCACTGAAACCTGGGCGTCCAGGCTGAAAGATTAATCCAGGAGCACTCCCAAGCTGCACACCTGTGTTTTCAGAGAGTGTAACCTAATTCAGCACAAATTGCAACCCTATTCCTTGATCTGGTTTTCGACTGACCAGGAGCACCTCTGTCTTGTCTGAATTAAGTTTCAGTTTATTCACCCTCATCCAGTCCATTACGGACACCAGACACTGATTTAGAACCAAGAGAGTTGCCTTGGATTTAGATGGAAAGGAGAGATCGTGTTGGATGTCACCAGCGTACCGAACCCCAAAATGAGAGATCGTGTTGGATGTCACCAGCGTACTGGTGACACCGAACCCCAACACGCCGGACGACCTCTCCCAGTGGTTTCATGCAGATATTAAATAGCGTAGGTGATAAACCAGATCCCTGAAGACCAGCACAGAGCAAAGGCCAAAATGTCGAACAGGAGTCTCCAGCACCACCCGCTGAGTTCTCCCCTTCAGGAAGGATTGGAACCACTGTAAAACAGTGCCTCCAAGTCCCACCCCAAAGAGACAGCCCAGAAAGATACCATGGTTGATGATATTGAACACCGTTGGAAGGTCCAGCAGAACCAACAAGGACACACTCCCCCTGTCCAGTTCTCAGCATAGGTCATCCACCAAGGTGACCAAAGCAGTCTCTGTCCCATAACCAGGCCTGAAGCCAGATTGATATGCATCTAGATAATCCTTCTCATCCAGGAATCCCGGGAGTTGAGAAGCCACAACCTGCTCCAGCACCTTGTCCAAGAATGGGATGGTGGGGTCCAAGGAGGATTTTTTTTCAATAATTGTCTTACTATTGCCTCCATCAAGCAAGCTGGGATCCTACCCTGCTGCAAGGAGGCATTCACTATCCCTTGGACTCACTCGGCCAGTCCCTCTCTGGAAACTTTTATAAGCCAGGATGGGCAAGGGTCTAGACAAATGGCAGCCTTCACTGGTCCAAGGATCTTGTCCGCATTGATGGTCAATGGTACTGAAAGCCACCAAGAGGTCTAGCAGAACCAAAAAAGCCACACTCTCCCTGTTCAGTTCCCAGCATATGTCATCCATGAAGGGACCAAAGTCCTATACATCTCATAGCCAGGCCTGAAGACAGATTAAAACAGACCCAGATAAATCTATTTATATTCTCGGCCCTCTCTTCAACCCAATTATATATCTTTGATGTAACTGTCATAATATGTACCACCTCCAATTTCTCTGAAGCATTGGCAAGTTGCTTCATCAATTTGCTCTCCATCCCCAGTATTCTGGACAGAATTAAATACTCGTAACTGTCAATGCTATTGGAGGGATTCCCATTCATTTGCTTTTTGCATTATTCTATTAAATTGCATATTCATTTCCTCTAAACTCTGGCTAGCTGTCTTGCAGCCTTTTCTGATCTGGATGCCACAATTACTGCTACAATATGCTACGCTTTTTCGTTAAAGACCTTAACATGTGTCTGTTCAAATGCTTGCACATGATCAGACATTTGCTGATCAGGACAGGACAGAGTAGACTTCAATTAGATTGGAACTCAATATTGCTTTGGTTTTGAGACATTAAAGACCAACTTTGTCTTTCAACACCAGCTTGATACCCACGCTTCTGCCACATAATGGAAAGCAGGACAGAGTGTTTGATGCTACAAAGCAGGGGAGGAAGAACTGAACAGTATGCGGGGCAAGGAAGTGGAAGGGGAGAATGATTTGCCAAGAGATCCAACAGATTTAACACTGAGCTGGAGTAATAATTGCCAGAAACCAAGCTCAGAAGCTATTCCTTAACTCTGTTGCTTATCCTGGCGTGTCCAGGCTGTTCTACAGAAAAAGGAACTACTGTATGTTTCTCATTGGTGGCTCCCAATTTCCTTTTTATCAGTATCTGAGAACTCAGATTCAGCAGTTAGGAAAAGAGGCTTAGGTGGCCAATTATGACACACGAAGAGACAAGGATGAAGAGGCACAAGATCTCTTCATTTCTCCAATAAGTGTCATTATTTCTGACTGGTGATGGGAACCTTTAGTCCTTCAGATATTTTCACCTAGAACTAGCCTCAGCCAGCTTGGCAAATGATAAGGGATCAGAGGAACTGAAATTCACAACATTGTGGAGACCCAAGGTTCCTTGCCTACAGGCAAAACAGTTTTGCATCTATTACTTTTGTATGGCATTTAAGCAGCGGCCAGAAACTGGGTTGCTGTACCCTGGAATTCTGCGACCTCACGCAGACTGCAGCTATTCCAAAATGCTATTCCAAAGATTTCATATTCAGCCATCACTTGAAACATAGTGTAAGCCACTGAAACAAGAGAATGTTATCAAAGTATGTTTTATTTAATTACACTTCAATTTCATATAGAAAGACACGAACTGTATAGTTTTAATTGGAAGTCTGAAAAATTAAATGTATGAAGTTTTGAAGCAGAGAAAAGGAGACAGAGAGAGAAAATGAGGACAAGATCATATTAACCCATTGCACCTATACCAGCTATGTGAATTGGCAAGAATCAACAGAACTTGCATATGAGCAACAAAGTCTATCAGAAGTTATCTAACAAAGGATTTGCATAAGGTTTCAGGTTATTCTGAAAAAGAAATGGCTTCTTTCTTCTTCCTAGGACAGCTCTATCCAGCAGAGAATTCACAGCTTTGCATACTGTTGGAGCAATATCCCCAGCTTCTGGCTCAGCATGATATTTCCTTTAATTTTTAGCTTACCAGACATGAATGCCTACAGGAAGCAGAGAGGAGAAAAACAATTAAATAGTCTGAGAGTCCTCCCAGAGTTGCACTTTTAAAAACATTTACAAGAGAATAATATAGCTTAACCAGAAATTAACTAGGAAAGCAGCAGTAACAACATTTCTTGACAACAAAGCAATTGGGGTCAAAGTTCCTTTGGTAACATGGATTACTTCCACTAAGTCACATTTGAGAAACAGGCTGCAGAGCAAATGGGCAAAGACATGAAGGAAGTGGGAAGAGAAGGAGTGAAGAAGTGGATTTCCTCACCTTTTACCTTGCTCCCAGCATAGATCCCCAGCTGCTTTGCAGCAAGAGTGACATTAATAAATCTTTAATAAACATTTAAATTGATGTGCAGTTTGGGAACTATTTAATCCAAGGATGTGCAACCTCCTCTGCTCTGTGCGATACATTTGATGCTGGCTCAGGGGCCACACGTGTAATATATATGCCACCATAAATACATAGTAAGGTAAAGGTTCCCCTTGACATTTTAGTCAGTCGTGTCCGACTTTAGGGGGCGGTGCTCATCCCTGTTTCCAAGCCGTAGAGCCAGCGTTTGTCCGAAGACAGTTTCCGTTGTCACGTGGCCAGCACGGCTATACACGGAACGCTGTTTACCTTCCGACCGAGGTGGTACCTATTTATCTACTTGCATTTACATGCTTTCGAACTGCTAGGTTGGCAAGGAGCTGGGACAAAGCGATGGGAGCTCCCTCCGTCGCATGGATTCGATCTTACGACTGCTGCTCTTCTGACCCTGCAGCACACAAAGGCTTCTGCGGTTTAGCCTGCAGCGCCACCATCTCCCACACCGCCACCTACACGTATACATCTCACTAATTCCCTTTCTCCCTACCTGGAAGGAGTAGAGCAATTTATTTCTACTCCCTCCCAATGTGATCCTGATCACATTGCTTCTTTCTTGTAATGTGAAACACAGGGAAACAGTGGTCTGTGTGAAACTGACAGGAAATCACCAGAAGGGGTGGAAAAGGCAGCAAAATCAAAGGGCCAGGGAGCCTCTAGGAGGCTATACATCTGGTGTTGCAGGGAGCACACGGCCCCATGGCTCAGGCTGAGTGTCCCCTATGTATTGTGCACTGATAAAAATAAAATCAATCCTGGAAAAGATGTTATATACAACACCCAAAGGAAGCTCCTGCATGCTTGGGGTTTCCCTGGTAATGTTATACATGTATAGCTGTTTATATGGTCCTCTCCATCAAAGGTATCGCTTTGCATTCGAATCTATGTGGTGGAACTTTTGTATGCTGTTATTTACTTATTTATTTGACTTATATGCCGCCCACTCTACCCAAAGGCCTCTGGGTGGCTTACAACAATTAAAATACAGTAAAAAGATAAAACTATTAAAATGCAATTAAAATATATACTCTAAAAATTGCCATCAGGACCCACAGTTGATATTATTTCAATTAAAAGCCTTCTGGAACAGGAAGCTTTAGACCTGGCGCCAAAACGTCATCAGTGTCGGCGCCAGACAAATCTCAATTGGGATGGCGTTCCATAGTCTGGGGGCAGCTGCCGAGAAGGCCCTTTGTCTACAAGCCATCCCTCGTACCTCCTTGAAGGACGGCTCTTTCAAAAGAGGCTAGATCTTAACTGCCGGGTAGGTTCATATAGAAGGAGGCAGTCCTTCGGGTATCCAGAGCCCAAGCCGTTACGAGCTGCCTTTGTTCCCTCTGACCCCTGGAGTCCCCTTTCTATTTAAATAAAATTGCATTTGCCCCAAATTAGGCATAGTTGGGAAAATTATGATCTTTCAACAAATATTTAACAGGATTGGAATTATGTAGTCCAAGATGACGAACAGTTCTCTACGTGCCCGATATGGGGAGATGTTGGTTCTCAATATCTCTGAATTAAAACTTGCTACTTAACACTCAACATCCTACTTCATAGCTGAGATCTTGCTGTGGAGACATGAATTTCACATTTGTACCTTTTGTGGATTGATCTTGCCTAGCACCAAACCCAAAAAGTCTTCATCCGAAATGGTGAAAATGGTGTCCGCTTTTCCACGGGCAGGACCTCGATACAACTCTCCAGAGCCATTCTTCAAGTCTATGGCTGAAGAGAGGCAAGATATTTTGAAAAAATTAAACAAAGGATAAGCTACCTGTTCCCATATTTTTTTTAAAATGCCAATCCACAAGTTGCTTGGGGAAAGGTAAACAACTTAGTGAAGAACATATGCAAAATTGAAAATTGCACCTTTTTTGAAAGTGTTTTTATATTCAAGAATTCTGTCCCAAGACATGTGCTATATGAGAATCGATTAAGCCACTAAAAGGACATTAAAAATGAAAGATGGAGAGAAAATGATGGCTATATGATAACAATAGGTTTAATTTCTTTACTCAATTAGCTGAACACTTAAAAGGAAACAAACAATAATAGAGATCAGCAAGCTTCAAGTGGAGAAAACATTGGGGGAGAATGCTTCTTTTCCCACTTGGGCCAGATTCTTAACCACAGACCTTCTTAAATTTAATTCCTCAACCCATAAGTAATATAAGGTTACTTAATTACTTGCATCCTTTCTAATTATTCTAGTCACCTGCTGTGGCAAAACTCCATCAGAGAGTGGCTGGATTTATGAGAAGTACACCTTCTTGTCTAAGCTGTCAACACTTGTTTTCCCCAGGCACCAGGATCCTTTGATCTGATTCACAGTATGACAGGCTGTTTAGATTTCCATAGTATTCTGCAAGCTAGTCTCAATTAAACATCTGAGTGAAGAGGCTGTACATACGTGTTAGCCCCTAATTACTTGAGAAAGCTGTTTCTGCTGAAAAGCACCAGCTTCATTCTGAGATGCGTGCAGCAATCTCTCTGCATGCAATTCTTAAGCATTTATTTCCTGAACAGCTTGAGATGTGGTGCTGAGAGGGACTCAGGATTATCCTCTTTAGGGAAGAAAGTAAATCGTCCCTGTACATGAATTTATTTACTTAATTCTTTCATCCTTCCGGGATTGAAGGCAGCCCAAGTCAGAAACCGTAAATCACTTTTTAAAAAGATTTTTAAGTAACAAGAACATAACTATATCCTACAGACTCTCTGGATGAATTCTTTTATTTCCAAAATCCATACTCTAACGCCACTGAAAATGCAATCCAATGGCTACTTTTGGTAAAGTATGCATTTAACCGAGTTATATACACTGTGCATGGTATGAAGGACACGAATAGAATGTTACTCTATATTCTGCATAATGGTATCAATAAGAGAAATGAACAAGGACATGGATCAAGGTCAAAGAAAAGAACATTATTTCGTCTCACAAGAGCTCTCAGGAAAAATCGGACTTTATGTTTACCCTACTCTAGGACTGGGAAATGTTTGGCCTTCTGTGCACTGCTGATCTGCAAACCCCCAATCCATCATCATGGGCTATGCTGACTAGGCAAGAGACACTGTCCAACAATGTCTGGTGGTGGACACATTTCACACCTTGCTCCACCCACCAATGCCACTATTATTTACCACCTCACGACCTCCAGTTACTGATAGGAGGCCTCAATGCCCGTAGGCTCCTTCATGTGATCAAGAATCCTGAACAACTCAGGGCCCTTGACTTTGTGGAAGCCTCTATACGTAACTGTGTTCCTCTAAATCAAGTTAACAACTTTTACTGGGTTTGTGGGCCAGTTCCGCCATTATAGCCCTAAAGCAAAAGCATTGTTTTGCTTGTTTTAAAAGTGTCATCGTGCTCTGTTCCTGAAATTCAAGAGCAACAATCTGGTTCCTTTAAATGGTATTTTCACTGTTGGTCACCTAATACCAAAAAATTAAGGTATTTTAAAGAGGTCAACTGTTCATTTTAAATGGCAGTTCCCACCCCCAATCCACATGTAGTCCCCCTTTCAGATCTTCTGCCCAAAGATGAAGAGCTGGCGAGGCAGTCGGCAGGAACAATGCTAATGAAGCTAATGAAGGCCACCTGCCCTCCCATGCTGAAAGTATGTGAAGCCTAATTTCTAGAGGCAAATAACACAGAATGAACCTTGTGGATGCCACAACAGGCCACAAGCCTTGACAGCTTTAAGAGTGAACTAGAGAAATTCACGGAAGAGAGGTTTATCGTAACCTATAACTAAAACCCATTACAGAATAAATGCAAGACTCCAGTTCCGAAGACAACACATACCAACTGTAGTGCTGCTCCTATATTCTTCTGTCATTCAAGGAAAACTAAATGCCTACATGAGAACAAGTTTTATTCGTCCTTAATGTGTCCCTCCCATTTTCAAGGCTACACTGTTAAAAACTAACAGGAAAGGTATCCTTTGTGATTGGTTGTCTCAAGACAGAAAAGGAAGAAGAGATACACGCAACACCACATTTGCTAGGATAGAAGACATAAATTGCTTAATACTGAACTCTTGTGTTTGAAAAAAGGAAGTCACTGCACTAAATAAAAGACTAAGTGCTTCCATATCAAGGCCCACAGAACTGTCCTAGATTCTTTCTCATATATCCAGTTAAATGCTACCAACAGAAACATGTATCACCTATAAATATACAAAAAGTGGCATGTCCCATAGGATTAAAAAAACAATAGTTGTTGCAGAAACTGAGAGCCGCCTTCATTTAATCTTTTCATGATTCACTTCAGGGCCAACTATTACTGAAATAGATGTCCTAATTTCATTCAGCACACAAGCAAGAATATGGATGCAGAATTTTTTTTTGGTTTCACAGTGTAGCTTGTTTTTTATGTTCTACTTCAAGAGCATCTTAATCCTCAGCCAAGTATATTCTTTCCTTAGGAACATCAACAATTCCTCAAAATCTCCCAAAGTCCCCTTGGCCTGCACAAAACCCACTGCCAAAATGATCAACTTTAAGGCAGATAAGCTGTCGTGTACTGTGTGGCCTGTGGTGGAGAATGGTATGACAAGGCTTTGCTCTGCCAGTTCATTTTCACATTGTGCAAATTTTCAGAGCCATTCATCCTCTTCTGCCTCTGCCAGAAAGTGTAAAAACAAAGCCATTGCCAAGTTAATGTTCCAGCAAGGACCTGACATCTTTAATTACAGCACTGGAGCATTTTTACCATCCAGGAGACAACAACTTGGAGGCTGCTTTTGTTCTTTGTAGGCTGTTCTACAGATAAAGGCTTTACAAAGAACCTTTCTGTTCAGTCCTTCTCTCTCGTCTCTTCCAGAACAAACCTGTTGTCTCTGCAGGGTCTGTGAATGAGCACCACACTCTCCGCTGAATCCAGATTTTGGTGTCTGTCTCTGGGCTGGAAGAAAGAGGGGAGTTCCCTGTCTTGTCCTACCCAACGCAGCATCTCTAGCCAGAAAAAATGTCACACTGAAAGTTACAAAGTTTTGTTAGATGTGGTAGGTCATGATAGGGGGCACTCCCGGAAAACAGGCGGAGGCACTGGTCCTGAGGAATCCAATCCCGTATCTCTAAAAGCACAGCAGTAAAGAAGAGTTTAGCGTTTTCCTCAATGAACCTGACAGCTTCCAATTAATTTGGCTCATAAATAAATCCTTTTTTATTTTAGCGTAACAACGGCACAAAACAACTTTTGAAATAACTTATTCATGCAGCTAGTTTGAAGACTGAAACTTGGCCACACCACAAAGTCACAACAATCTTTTTTTTTTCTTTCAAAAAAAGCAGCTATTCCTTGATATAATGAATTTGCAAAAAGACTTCCCTTGCTGCAAATAGTAGGTATCTTAGCCATGCAAGGGTGGTGAACCTTTGGCATTTCAGGTCTTTTGGACCCCAACCCCCAGAATTCTCAGCCTGTACAGCCAGCGATAAAGGATTGTGGGAGTTGTAGTCCAAAACATTTGGAGTGCTGAAGGTTTACCACCCTGGTGCCTTAGTGAGATAGCGGGCTATGGCAAGTACCCGTTTTATGGTGCACACGTGGTTTGACGTAGGACGCAAGAGGACTCCACCTACAAACAAGCTGAGTTGGGTGCCTAGATTTACCTTGCTCTCTACTTGTGACTGGCCAAGCACACAGGGCTGCCAGGTGGCAGAGGCTAGAATCCTAGACACACTTTCTCAGGAACAATCTTGTATAAAACCTCTGAGCAGACATGCAGAGGATTGCAGTATTAATGTTTATGCATGCAAAGAACTTTGAACATCTGAAATGTGTGAAATATAAAGCCCAAACCAGACATGTTTTTATTAATGCATATGAGCTCTTTTCACATTATTTCCTGAGTGAAATATTTGTGTGGTGTAAAGCCCATATGTGGGGAGCAAGAAGGAAGTGTCCTAATATGATCTGCAGTGCAATCCATGACAGTCTTTAAAGGAAATCTTGGTGCTGTAACAATAATCTCCCAAACATATGCCGAAGGATTCTCACTTCAACTGCAAACATTAATTCTAGTTCACATATCCAAGTCACTGAGGGATAGTAAAGAACCAGAGAGGTTGGCACCATATGGAACGATACAAGAGAGGAGGTTATAGTCAATTGCACAAAGCAATAAAAGCTTTTTTGGCACTTGTGAATCAGGGAAGAATAAAATTATTGGCTGTGTCAACCAGAACTGCAAATCATTTCCTTAAGGGCTGCTTCTCATCATTCCCCCACCCCTCTCCCACTCCTTCTGACATTCAGCCCAAGGACATTAGATGAAAATGCTAGCTGCTTCAGCTATCATCCCCCAATGGTGAAGTACAAGGGGCCCCAGTATGCTGAGCGTAAAGAGGCACAGGCAAAAAGGACAAACTATACTGTCAAGCAGAAGCCTGAGAGGTGGAAACTTGGCTACACACTTTAGCAAGAGAGGACCACAGGGGGAAATGGACCACAGGGGAGGGTGAGAGTCAGAACAACGGTCAATGCCAACCAAAGGTCTGAAATTAAAAAAAAAGTTTATTAATCTCCCAGGTGAAATGTGTCCAGGCCCCACAAAATCTACTCAGATCAGAAAATCATTTAGAGGAGTAAAATTAAAATAAAGTTGGTCCAGCTGTGCTTCTATCCCTCAAATCCCTGCTAACCTTTTGAAGAAGGTATTTAAAGTTATGGGAGGGAAAGGCATGGGGGGGCAGATCAGAGTGTATGGTCTGTGGAAGAATCCTGCTGTGAGATTTTATGAGGGAAAAAGGCTCAGCTTTGACATATGACATGCTATAGGGAGCACACTTTATATCAAGTCTCAATGTGGCTAGCAGTCTTTGAAGCATCAAGTAACCACAGTCTGTGCAGTGATGTTCTACCTCCGCTTTCCCATGAGGGCTGCTGACCTAGATGGCTTCAGCCTGTGAGCCTTTGGGTTTTAAAATGGAAGGAAAGAGATCAGACATCATGAGTCTTTCTGGGGACACTTCTGCTTAGCTCTTAATATTAATGGAAGAAAAGTCCCAACACGCTTTAGGTTTGATGGTTTGCTGACACAAAAGAACTATTCCAAAAGTATTTTTATTATCCTTATTCTTATTCTTAAAGATTACTTTTGACATTTTTGAAAACTCTTAGTGGAATTTATACAGCCTGGTTTCAAGTGCTTTTTTTGTTTTTGTTTTTTTTAAAAGACTTTCCAGTGAAGCTTCTCGCCATGGAAAAATGAGATTCTGCTAGATGGGCATGATTCCATCTGCTTTTGGGTCAACCAAGAAAACTAAAATAAGTTCTTATGATTCTGCATTTCAAATATTCACTTACTGTTGATAATTAGAATTTTTGAGTTGATTTTTTTTTTTTTGTTTTTTTCATATTGTTTGATTGGCTGATTCTTTCTGTTAAGGAAATATGTGTCTCACCCAAACCTTAAGGAGTCAAGATTTACATTCAAACCCTTTACAGTATGATATGATCTAGAATTTTATTTTTGGAGTCTGGAATCTATATCACAGGTTCTTAACTTGTGAGGCCACAATGTCCTCACAGGGGGTCCGTGAAGGCTTGAAGAAATGTTATGATCTTTTGCAGTTGAAATAGAAAGAAAGAAAGAAAGAAAGAAAGAAAGAAAGAAAGAAAGAAAGAAAGAGAAAAGGAAATGTAGAACAAAATCTTATTTTCTCTTGCTTCTTTGTGTAAAAGTTGGCTTTTCTAACCTACTACCTCCATTAAAAACACAAAAGTAAAAATTGGTTATGAAAATAACTGTTTGATAGCAAATAATAGTTTGATATTTCTGCACACAGTGAGAACCTACAAGTGAATGATGCAGATTGGCTGAGAGAAAGCACGTGACATTTCTTGCTACTGTGCACAGTCGGAAGTCGTAGGAACAAAGAGTCAGAGTCAGTCAGTGTCGGTGTGAGTGAGCGGCCAGACTTCATTATTGTGTTTCTTCTTTGGTTTCTACTAATAAAACCGTTCAGTTATTGTCGAGTAAAGTAACTTTTCAATATTATTGCAGTGAAGTTTGTAACAATACATTTTGACTGAGCCTCAGAATGGATCTCTGGCTGAATTAGAAATGTAAAAGAACTGATGCTGCTGATGAGGGCACAACCTGTTCAAAGCAAAATTAAGCTTCTTCCAGTCATCTTTAAAAGTCTTGCCATTATAGCAAGGAATATCTATCGATGAGACCCTTCATGAGAAACTTTAAACAGATATTTGATGCACTTTAGGGGTTTAATTTTTGAGTTAGGTCTTGGTGGTCGGCGGCAACAAAAGATATTTGAAGGGCATCTGCACTAAAGAAAAAGCTAAGAACTGCTGATCTATGTTATTCAAATTGCAAAAGCAAAGATATACATAAGATCAAAAATGGTCCAATACATTTTGCTTCTGAGGTGGCCCCTGCCAAACTGTATATAGAAGGCAGCACGGGGCTCCTGGTGGGGCAGTTAAGGGCAGCCCATGTGGCAAACAGAGCTTTGGCCTCTGACATTATGCAATGGATTCCCTGCGCCCAGTCCACTTTTCTGGTCCCACTAAGGTGCTCTCATTAAATGGCTGTACAGAAAACATACTCTGGAGAAAGCGGCAGTACGGTCAGTGTTCTGTCGTGACAAACATGCATGAATACAGTTAATGTGTGGTTTCATTCAAACGCAGTCATCCTTTTGAACGTTCAAAGCGTTTCATGCGAATATTACCATTGCCACTGTAACCTTTCCATTACGACTCTTTATATTATCCCTGCATCACAGTGCAAAGGAAGGGACAGTGTCCTGCCTCGGGGGGGGGGGGGCAGTGATTTGATACAAGTTGAACTAGATGTTCCCAACACACCACAGCCGCTCCAAAAGAGTAAAATCACTGCCTCTGCTTTAAAGCAAAGTCCTATTTTTCAACAGCCCAGGCCCTGCTGTATTGGAATATACCTTCACTATAAAAAAAATACAGAGTTGGTGCCCTATGCCTTTCAACTCGTTCGGCTTAGAACTACTCTAACATCTTTCAGTTCATTAGAGGATGCAGTAAGGCATACCATAAATTAATTAATCCTGCAACTTACTCCTCTGCACTGCAGTCTTTCCGTCCTTAGTGATGTTCCATTGAAAGACAGCATTTACTTTCTTCACCATCTGATTTCCATCCTCTTTGATGCGACGACCAATTTCTTCAAATACAAGGTCACTCTGCAATCCTGCTGCCTAGCATATAAATTAATGATTCTCGAGGGGAACATCACACCAAAAACCACATACTGTGCTCCATGGCCACCACTGCTATCCAGACCTACCCAGCCCCCTTCTTAAAATAATAGTTTGTGGCCATCCACTATGGGAGTGGAGGTGGTCACAAATATGGTGTAAGAAAACGAGACCAACATCAATATGCTGGTACTCTTTCTGATACAGTGATGAAAGTGACTGAAGTAAGTGACAGATTTCCAGGAGAAAAATTGTGGGTCCATCAGGATGAACAACTTCTGAGAGCCCAGAAGCTATCCCCTCCTGCAATTTCCTGTACTTTCAATCACATGTCCACATACCCCACCGATATTACTATTAATAGTAGTATCACTACTACTACTACTACTACTACTACTACTACTACTACTACTACTACTACTACTACTACTACTACTACTACTACTACTACTACTAGGTATTCTGATGGAGACAGTTTGCCATTACGCAATTTCAGGCTCTCCTGGGTCTGTTTTAGGGGAGAAAAAAACCTGTTTTTTAGAAAAAGAAGTGATTAATCACTTAGTTTCCAAAAACCAAATTCTCCTGGGGAAATTACATCTAGCTGTAAGAACACCCCCCACCCCCAGTTTCTGGTAGTGTGATTTGCCTTTTTGGAGACCAAATTATTCTTTGGGGTGCACAAGCAAGCTCAGATGACCAAATAGCCAATAGGTTGCACTCTGCCCAGATAAACTTACACTTCATAACTATCACACAGTTCCAAAACCATGCACAGCATGTGCTATCATCTATGTGCTCTTTTACTAACAACCTACTCAGCACAGTTTAACTGGTACAGAAAAACAATGAATAAAATTAAATCCTCTGTTTAGTTAAACCATGCAGGTTGTTTCCACTGCTTTATCCTATGTAATCAATCCATCTCATTTAAATAATATTTTGAGGGGAAAAAATCAAAGTCCAAGACTTTTTATTGCCTGAGGCAATGAAAAATATGCCCGTTATTCCACCTAAGGTATTTTGGAGACAAGAAGTTGTGTCACAATATTAAAGGTGACACTGCTGTTGTCATCATCCTTGTCACCATCAGGCCATACACATCTATGGAGCGCATCATACACAGGGGCAACCTATGTTTTCCTTACCTCAGCCGAGGGCTCCTGAGTTGAAGGCTGGACAGAGGATATGTTCAGATCCACATACGCTCCTGAAATTGCAATGTCCCCTGTCTCTCTGACCTGAAATAAATAAGTACTTCAGCATGCTATCAAGGGCTTTTGGCTAATACAGACACCAGAATTACAACCAGCACAATAGATGCCTTTTATGTTGACTGAAGAATTTTCTTTGCATCTTACATCAAACCATCCTCAAACTGGCAAAATAAAAGAATGAAAATAAAAGGACTGAAATAATTACAAAATCTTAAACACAGAAGAAGTGTGCTTTTTCATGAAGAAAATGCAATGCTATTAATATCATTATCACCAATGACTAAGTACTGACAATGTTCCAGCGGGTAAAAACCACAAGAACAGAAAGCAGTTCCAATTACTTCAAACATTTAATGCCAATGTGTCAGCAAAGTCACTGCACGTTAAAAACAAGCAAACATACTGCAGATTCAACTGAGGGCCTCTTGTTTTCAGCTCCAGGGTCACAGGATGTAGCAGATGCCATTTTGGGAAGGATGTAGCAGATGCCTTTTCCTTGAGTTGGTGTGGGAATTTTCCTGCCCCAAGTTTTAACTGATCAACCAAGTTGGCCAGGAGTTGGGGGAGGAGCAGATCCCAGGCAGATCTGAGGGACAGAGTTTCCAATCCAGCCTGCCTGGGAAGTATTTAGGAGCTTGTCAATGCTAGCGTTCATTCTCCTTCAACACTTTTACTTAAAAAAGTATTTTAAAAGGAACAATTTGATGGCAACAGTGTCTGAGTGCATCTTTTTAAAAAGTGGGTGGGGTGGTGGAATGAAGAGATTAAACACATTAAATATAAGCATTTGACCAACTATTCTAATTTCTAGAGTCCCAACCACAGCATTTAAGAAGAACTTAGAAGAGAGGATAAACCTTCTGGAGACAAAAAAAGTGATTTAAGTATTTCAAATACTCTGATGACAGATGAGTAGGGGAGAATCATGTAGCACAGCATATTGTTCTGCATGCCAGATGTCTCAGGCTCAGCCCCTGGTCTCTTCAGTTTTAAAAGGTACCAGGTGATAGGATAGCTCAGTGGTTTAGGTATCTGGCTGCAGAGCCAAAGCTGGTTGGGAGTTCGATTCCCCGGTGTGCCTCCAGGGAGAAGAGCCAGCCTGTGTGGCCTTGGTAAAGCTGCACAATCCCAGGGCAGCCCCAGAAGAAGGGAATGGTTAAGTTACTTCTGAGTATTCTCTTTCTGGAAACCCCTGGAAAGGGTCGCCATCAGAATTGACTTGACGGCACACATTATTGTTAGGTGATAGGATAGACTTTTCCCTTGGACCCCGAAGACATAGTAGACAGTACAGGAACAGCTAAACTAAATGGCTTGATTTGGTATTAGGCAGCTTACCGTCACTCATCCATGTTCCCAAATGTCTCTGAACAGTACTATTTTGCAGAGTTTGGAAAGTTACTTTTTTCTGATGCAATTTCCTGAGGCTGGTAGCCAGTGGTCATGTGTTCTTGCATTTTAAATATCATACTTTTTGGGATGTGCTGGGTGGGGGTGAGATTCTGGGAATTGTAGTCCAAAAAGTAATATCCTAATCTGCATCTTTGGTCAACATTGAGTTTATAATGCCTCCTAAACCCATCACCGAAGAAATTCAATCAACAGCTACAGTTGTGTTCAAAATTATTCAGCCCCCACTGAAATTGAATGTTTTGGCCATTTTGACATTGATTTTGATCATTCAGTCATCTTGCTTACATTTACATGAAAGAGGCACTTGTAGGTCAGAGAAATATAACCTTAAGTTTATAATGAAATAACCACAAATGTCTTTTCTGTGCTCACATCATTATTAGTTTTTATTCAACCCCCAAGTGACATTCAATCTTAGTACTTAGTACAACATCCTTTTACAGTTATAACAGCTTTTAAACGTGAAGCATAGCATGACACAAGTGTCTTGCAGCGATCTACGGGTATCTTCACCCATTCTTCATGGGCAAAAGCCTCCAGTTCAGTCAAATTCTTAGGCTTGCGCACTGCAACTGCTTTCTTTAAGTCCCACCAGAGGTTCTCAATCGGATTTAAGTCTGGTGACTGCGATGGCCACTCCAAAATGTTCCAGCCTTTCCTCTGCAACCATGCTCTAGTGGACTTGGAGGTATGCTTGGGATCATTGTCCTGTTGAAAGGTCCAACGTCTCCCAAGCCTCAGGTGTGTGACGGACTGCATCACATTTTCATCCAATATCTCCTGGTACTGAAGAGAATTCATGGTACCTTGTACACGCTGAAGCTTCCCTGTACCTGCAGAAGCAAAACAGCCCCAAAGCATTATTGACCCTCCGCCATGCTTCACAGTAGGCAAGGTGTTCTTTTCGTCATATGCCTTGTTCTTCCTCCTCCAAACATAGCGTTGATCCATGGGCCCAAACAGTTCTAATTTTGTTTCATCAGTCCACAGAACACTATCCCACAACTTTTGTGGTTTGCCCACATGACTTTTGGCATACTGCAGTCGACTCTTCTTATTCTTGGGAGACAGCAAGGGGGTGCGCCTGGGGGTTCTGGCATGGAGACCTTCATTACGCAGTGTGCGCCTTATTGTCTGAGCTGAAACTTCTATACCCACATCTGACAAATCTTTTTTCAGTTCCTCAGCAGTCACACGGGGACTTTTCACCACTCTACGCTTTAGGTAGCGCACAGCAGTCGAAGTCAGCATCTTCTTTCTTCCACGACCAGGTAGCATTTCAACAGTGCCCTTTGCCTTGAATTTGCGAATGATGCTTCCTATGGTGTCTCTTGGTATGTTTAACTTCTTTGCAATCTTCTTATAGCCATTGCCCTTCCTGTGAAGACAAATCACCTCTTCTCTTGTCTTCCTGGACCATTCTCTTGACTTCACCATGTTTGTAACCACACCAGTAAATGTCTAGAAGGAGCTGAGTATCACAGTCATTTTAAAGCTGCCTAATTGGTGCTTATTATGCTTGATTGGTGCTCGGTGACATCCACAGGTGTTTTCAATACCTGATCGAAAACACCTGAATGAACCTCTCTTCTTCAGAGTGGTAGTCTTTAAGGGGTTGAATAATTGTGGCAATGAAGAAACCACAAAAGAAACATTTACCACTGTATTACATAAACAATTGATGTTATTTTAGTTGCATTTGGTTCTTTAAAACGTCCTTGTAGGATTTCATTCTGAATACAATTCCAAATGTACACTATAGTCCCTAAACCCCTTTACAGCATTGGGGGTTGAATAATTTTGAACACAACTGTATATGTGCACTGGAATAGCATTAAGGAACATGCTGCGTACTTTGGCTTCTGGGACATTTCAAGAACTCTGTAGCCAAAAAGAACAGCTACAACTTTCAAAAAGTGCTAATAGGTGCTTCCATAAAATGCCAAGGTTTTCAGGAGATGTTAGTAAAACTTGAAAATAATGCTTTGCACTGATTAGCCACAACACTAAAACCACTTGCCTAATATTATGTAGGTCCCCGTCATGCTGCCAAAATAGCTCTGATGCATTGCAGCATGGACTCCACAAAACCTCTGAATGTGGTATCTGGCACCAAGATGCAAGGTGGGGCCTTTATGCATCAGATTTGGTGTTTCAACACATCCCATAGATGCTCAATTGGATTGAGATCTGGGAAAAAAAAATTTGGGGGGGGGGAGGTCAAGGCAACACCTTGAACTCTTTGTCAGGTTAGTCAAACTATTCCTGAATAATTCTTGCAGAGTGGCAGGGCGTATTGTCCTGCTGAAAGAGGCCACTGTCATCAGGGAACACCACTGCAATGAAAGGGTGTACGTGGCGAAAGAGGCCACTGTCATCAGGGAACACCATTGCAAGGGTGTACGTGGTCTGCAACCATCTCTAGAAAGGTGTTACATGTCAAAGTAACCAGGACCTAAGGGTTACTAGCCATACACTGCCCAGAGCATAATACTGCCTCTGCCAGCCTTGTTTTATTATTTTATTACTATTATTGTGCTGTTTTATGCTTTTTATGCTTATTTACATTATATTTTAAATACTATTTTTAAGGTTGCTTTAGTTTCTCTCGCATACTGTACACGCTGATTAGCTATAAAGCAATAAAGTAAGTATACATGTACAAATGTAACACCCCTAGTAAATGGCTCACTGGCTTGTGATGTTCATGGCTCAGTAGACACTAAAACCTATATGCAGGTCGTGATCCACTCTTACTACCTATTATTTTCATGCAATCAAATGCTTTCACTTCATGATTCTTACCTTGGTCTGAATATGAATCCGATTTCCTTCCTTCCACATCTCCGTTTGCAGGGTTTGTCCAGGGAAGACTGGCTTTGCAAAACGAATCTATCATAGGGAAAGATTAGTGGTCTCTTTTTCTCCCTCCCAGTTAACAAAAAACACGTACCAACCGGTTATAAGTGATATCTCTAGTGACTCTGCATCTGCTACAAGCATTCACAGAAGGGGGGGAGACGTATTTTGGATGAAAGAACTCTAACCACTGATATCAGTGAAGGTGGAGGTGAACACCAGCAAGCCCAGTCCTTTGGGGATTCTCGCTGCTCTTAAGCCAGCATCTGTGAGTGGCTGATAATCCTAAAGTGGCTACTGTCACCTGCACTATTCCTAGGTATGGTCCAGTGAAGGGGTGCGCCCCCCTAGAGGCCCAAACAGTCAGAACCTGAGTAGATGTCCAGAGCAGAGCGAGGCATCTACTCCTTTCTTCTAGGATGGAAGATCAAGATGTACAATCTTGGTACCTCTGGTCGTGAAAAAACTTAAAACCCTGAAACCTCATAGGCTTGTAAGCTATCTTGCGCTATGGCTCTGAGACCCTTTTTTGTTGAAAAATGGTAAAATAATTGCTCTAAATAAATAAACAAACCAGGTAAAAGGAAAATAAAATTAATTTGTGATGCACGGGTCTCAGGCCTTCCTTTCTTTTCGCCATCATTGTGCAGGTCTCTCTAGTGCTGAAACCCTGCTCTGGAGGGAGCAGGGGAGAGGGCAGAACACTCGTCACCTACTTCCAATGGGCAGTGGAAGTATCCCACTGGAGGTATTTTTAATGACATACAACCAGCAAACATATGAAGGGGGGGAGATAACATACAAGGCTGGAAGTAACATCAAGATCCAGTGTGACATAATGATTTATCTTTTCTGTGTAGAATTGTCTGTCATGCCTCATTAATGAACACATAAAGACAGAAACATACTGACCTTAATTGCCTTGAATTTAGTCACATCATTGTTTGCAAAGTGTTTCAAAACATGTCTGGCAGCAAATCCAAAGGAACAAAGTCCGTGCAATATGGGCTTTTTAAATCCTATCAAAAAAAATACAAATCTAAACATTGTATTTTCTCCTTAATCAGTCTACATCTCACCATATATAGTAGGAAGCAGATATGTTTGCTCATTCATAAACAAACACAGATATATTTATCCAGCAAGCCACATGTTACCAAAAACATTAGGATACACAGAAATTGTTGTATAAGATCGCATAATATAATACGGTCATATTCTGTTGATTTTTCAGACGACACTAGCACAGTATCACAGAATCCCTTCTGAAAGTTACGCAGAACCACTTTGGTGCTTTAGAAAATGGTTCCCAATCTCTGGTAACCCAGGTGTTCTTGCACTACAATTCCCAGAAATCCTAGCCAGCACAACTAGTGGTAAAGGGTTCCTTCTGGAAGTTGCAGTCCAAAAACACCTGGGTTACCCAAGGTTGGGAACCACTGCTTCACAACATGGCAGGAGCACTCACAGGCTGTAATGTACTTTCTGGGCTTATTGCTACATGTTCATTGGCTTGCAGTTTGATTCTGAATTCAATTTTTCCATCTGAATGCACCTGTTCCTTACAATAAATATCAAAGGTCCTTTTTCTGTTGTCCTCATTTCCTTTAAAAAAAGATTAGTGGTAATCTTTAAGGTACAATTAGATAGATGATAACCACAGAGATTCAGAGTGACCTCTCGTCTGTAGAACAGCTTTCTCAAACTGTTTGTATGGCACCAATTTTCACCGATTCTTTGTCACAGGGTGAAAGTCTTATTTCCCATTCTATCGGTGCTGGATTTATGACTTGATTTAGATGGTTGCTAATATATTCACAGTTTTTAGAATTTTGAGAATTTCTTGGTTGAGTTTGGTACTGAGCTGCTTTCAGAGTCTGTTTTACTGATCACAGCCCTACATGTTTTTACAGAAGAAGGTATTTCCTCATTTTAAAATGAAGAAATATAATTATTCCAGAGGATTGCAGCAGGAGGAAGTCACATGGGAAAGCATAACAAATATGGATAAAATTAAATTGCAGTAAACGAAATATAATAATAATACTGAACAGCCATAATGACAGTTCAAAAATAGCTGGCACCTGTGTGTTGTGTATGATTCCAAAAGGGGTCAGAAAATAGAACAGGTGTGTTCAATTTAACTTGTTCTTTTAACCGTTTTGGGTTGGCACCCAGAAATTTGAAATGCAATTAGAATAGCTTGTTGCCATATAGCTGGTTTCATGGTTACATTCCCTAATATTAACTAACAACAACTTTCCATGTGGTAGACAAAGAGGACAAGATGAAGTTCATTTTGCTGTATAATATCAACAAATATGATGGATAAGATCAAAAGACTTGCACAATATTCCAGCAAGCCGGAGGGAGGGGGCTTTTGGTTGCCTTGCTGTGCCATAGAGAGAACTACTTTTGAAACGGCCTCTGATTCGGCGTCTAGATGTCTGCTGCTTTTTGAAGAAAGAAGAAGAAAAAGAATGAAAACCCCACTAGAGATGCTCAGTACCTAAGAGTGACTGTTTGGATGATGATGTTTAACATTTGAAAGCCAGGCTCCAAGATCATACCTGTGCCCATGCATTACGAGAGGGAGAGAAAATGCACTCACCATCAACAAAAGACAGACCTTTTCAGTGGCAACATCCTGACCCTGGCATGCCCTCTTACGGGACATTCATCTCATGGCAGCAGCGCACTCTTTGCAGCACCAGTTCAAAACCTTTTTATTTGCACAGGCATATGCAAGTTTTTAAAACAGTACAAAATTTATTTGGGTATTTTAAATATTCCTGGGCAACCAGGATCTTCAAATCCCTTAAGAAATGGATGCCGTGCGGGTAGTTTGCATTATTGTTCACCCGTCATTTTCTTAGCTTGCATTGCCTTGTGCAAGTGGAAACCCCACTTGTTTGAACAGGCAATCTCTGTTTATGTAACAGCAGTCCTGGGGACTGTACAACTTGGAAGAGAGCGCGCAGGACTATTCCACAGGATTCTTGCCAGAGAAATAAAGAGATTTCCTGCCATTTACCTCCAAGGGCAGCAAAACCAGGTTCAATGTGTAAAGGATTCCAATCCCCGCTAAGTCGATACAAGGCAGCCTAAAGAACAAAAAATAAACAGATAATAAAAATTAAAAATGAAGTAATCATTAAAAAAGACGGTTGCAACATGTCTTGGGTGACTGTGGGCAGAATTTATTAATAAACATACTTATAAGCAAAAAGATTTGCATTTCATCTTTCCATACTAACTAGAAACATTCAAAGTAACTGTCACGGGCACAGAAACTAGGGATCTGCACTAGTAACAAAATCCAGATGCAAAATTTAATTCAGAATTCAGAATTCCAGCCCTTTGGATTAGAAATTTTAAAAATTCAGAACTTCTGGATATCCAGAACTCTGTTTCAGGCAATAGGAACACTATAGGGTCAGCCGTTTCCCTTTTTTTAAAAAAAAAACACAAACAGGCAAAATATTTTAAAAGGATTTCTTTGTGTCCTCCCATGACAACTTCCCAGGGATTGTGCCAAAATGAAAATAAAAAAACAGAATGCACACCAGCAGTGCCCAGGTATTAGGAAGTGACTGTCATGGGCATCCTGACAGAACCCTGAAGAGGGGGGATGCCAGCAGAAGGGGGCGGCAGCACTGGAAAGCAGAGGGCAGGTTGCGCTCGAGGGTCGGCAAAGACCTGGGCAGGGCTGACAGGCAGATGGGAGCAGCAGATGGACTGTGGAAGGTGGGAACTGTGCCAGCAGCACACTTGAGAGAAGTAAGCACAACCTTGCAGTTGCAGTTGGAAGAATGACAGAGGCAGGAGGGGGAGCAGCAGAAGAGTGAAGCACGGCGTACTTGTCCTGTGAGCAGAGTGTGCCCTTCTCCTTTACTTACAGGGGACTTTAGGAAAGCCCAGCAATGGTAAGCTGACCTTAAACAAAATAATTTTTTCTGCAGACTGCGTTTCTACAGTGGTGCCTCGCTAGACAATGATAATCCATTCCACTGAAATAATTGTTTAGCTAAATCATTGTCTAGCGAAAGGCATTTTCCCACTGGAATGCACTGTTTAATGCGTTCCAATAGGGAAGAATTGTCGTCGTATAGCGAAGATCAGCCATAGGAAAGCCGCTTTGCAAACCGCCGATCAGCTGTTTTTAATTGCCGTCTTGCGAAAAACGGGCCCCAAAACACCCGTTTTGCAAGGATCACCCCTAAGGAAGCCATTTTGCAAACCGCCGATCAGCTGTTCTAAATCGTCGTGTTGCGAAAAAACGGTCCGCGAAGCACGGACCAAATCGTCGGCCATAGGAATCACTATTTTGTGAAGCAAAATGGCTGCCGCAAAGCGCTGTCATCATGCGGATTCGTCGTTTTGAGGGGTAACCGTCTTGCGAGGTACCACTGTACTGACAACCTCCTCTATCTGAGAGAACACACTCTCAGTGGGCACCCTAGTTTGTGGGCAAGACAGCCGTCCCACTGCCACCTTGGCCAGACCTTCCCAAACAAATGCATTCTCAGCCCAGTCTGTTTTGGCTTGCAGGGCTCCTGCATATATCCCTCCGTTTCTGCTATATCCTTCCTCTGAGGTGATGTCTCTGGAGGCCAGGCCCTTGCCAGGCTTGCCATGACTATGTCCCAGAAATCTTGCCCTGTTGTTGCAAGCATGAGAGACTTGGACTCTAGAATACAACTGCGATTTAGCTATAAACATTGCTAGTTTCCTTCTGCTCTGTGTGACCCCTCAGTGCTAGCAGGAACTTCTTCACTAGCTGCTGCTACATGTGATGGAAAGTTGGCTGGCACTGACCCCACCCCTTGCTGATGCTTAATATCCATTGAACCCTGTTTAATTTTGGAGTCCAAAAGGGTTGCTAGAATGTACTCCTTCCATAAGCCTGTAGTAGAGCAGGTCCTTTAGCTTGCTGGCCAGGCCCAAACCCTTCAGGCCAGAGAGAAAAAAAACCCTCCACCTAGACTGTCCCCTCCTTATGCCATCCATCACACCAACCAAGCCCTAGAACATTGGGATCACCTGGCTGAGGACAGCTGTCCTCCCACTAAGGACCTGTGTTGCACTCTCAAAGATCCAGAGGACAGAGGCCACTTGACCCATAATGCCCCACTATTCTCTGCCCGCACGAGCAGTCACAGCAACGGAAGTCTCCAGTGTCAGGTCATGGAGTGCCTTTGGCTGCTCCAGCATTCTTCCAAGCAGGCAGAAAGTCAAGTTTCATTGAGTTTCCACATCCTGGATTAGGTAGTACAATGGCAATCCCATTTTTTCTTGTCTCTGCTGTAACAGCTCACTACCCCAGACACTGTAGCAAAAATGCTCTGCCACCTTTCTGGCCCCACTCAGCTGTATTAGGCATGCCTGTGCCTTCCATATTCTGCAAAGCCTTACACCCTCTTTATCTTCCAAGCCTGCAATGCTGCTACTACTGTCCTTTTATCTGTGACAAACAGACCTTGCCTTTCTGTAACTAGACTCCACAACTGCAGCCTGGCTCTCAGAGCCTCTTGAACGTTGTGAGCCATGTGGCTGCCCTCCATCATACATTCAACAGGGTCCACCTGTACCCTGCCCTTGTGCATACAGCCTATGCCTGATGCCTCCACCTCTCACCAGTGTCCTGTCAGAGAGAAATAAGGATACTCTACGTATTTTGCACCCTGGGTGCTTCAGATGTCACTTCTGCCGCCTCTGCCCTGACCAACTGCTGCAGCCCCAGTTTTCTGACACCTCAACAGAAATCTGGCACTACCTTGTGGTTAACAGTAGTTCAGAATGGCAATGGTAAGGGGGAGGCAGTTCTGCCACAAACCTATGGAAACCAGTGTTCTCCACCAGAGCAAATGACTGGTCATCCAGGGCAATCATCTCCCCTAGGCAATGAGTAATCCTGCCATTTTTACAATTGCAGAAGGCCTTTTCTGGCACCCAAACAGCAGTTTTCCATCCAAATAAACAAGCTTAGTCAACATCACACTACAGTACTTTGAACTTTTGAAACCACCTTTATTTTCCTCCCCAAACCCCAGTGTTCCCCCAGCCTAATAACTCTTATGCGCAAATGTTGCTGTTGGGATACAAGGATCAATATCTGAAGAATGATTTTAAATGACCCTTTGAGTGCACTGAAATCATATTTATAGACACTTCAAAATCATAAGGATTCCATATACTGTACTCAGGCACAACACAGCGCTTCAGCATTTGCTATTTCCACAAAAACTTCCAGTGGTTAGAGATTAATTTGTGTCATTCCTGACTGCTTTCCATGCCCTATGCATAAGCAATATTCTCTAAGAACAAATGCTTTTCCATAGATTACTATATTCGCCCCTTGAGAAGGAACCAGGCTGGATATCAAGGAATATTATAGCGGTCTCATCTGCAGAATGAGCCCGCCATGCATCCAGGCCAACATGGCATTCGGCAAATCTGCAAGAGTTTAACAAGACACATTCCAGTAGGTTAGTTAATGTTCATATTGCCAACATCACTCAGCCAATAATGCTGTAAGGTAAATTAGTCTTGATTTATGCCTCTATTCTTTAAAAAAAAGGTTTCTAAAGCAAAGACACATGTCATACAAAACAAAAGTGCAAAAAGGTTTGTCTTCTGCATGACATCAGCAATAGCAATGCTTTCCCCCATTTTTTGCTGGATAAAAACACTGATTTGTCTTCAGAATATAAAAAGCCAATTGATCAGGAGCATTAGACTAAAGTCATTCACAGTATAATTGGATTGTTCCCCTATTATTAACACAAACTGACAAGTTTTATTTTGACAAATTTTCACAATGGGATTGTGGAAATGGGGCAAGGGGACCTAATCCTTCCCAAGAATTTTTCCCCAAGGGAACCCTCCTCTACTCATATGGAATAAATAAAGTATCATTAACATATACATAGCATTTCACAGATGAACATGCAACGATCCTCAGCTCCTGCTCCAAGAAGCATATCGTTTATTATCTTTGCCACTGCCAAAATTAAAATTGAGAGTAAGTAATTGAGTGGTGATTGTAATCAACAACTGACAGGCAAGAGATGTCAGAAAAACTAAAAGATGGAAAGAAGGAATAGGATGGGCTCCATTGTCCTTTTTTTAAAAAACATCTTTTTTATTTTTGTGTTTGTTTTTTGAGAAGTCCAGGATTTCCCATTTGATGCAGGAAAATACTATGGATATCCATATTTCAAGATTTTTCACATGATCTAGGAAAATATGCACCTTGGGTCACATGTTGCAACAGTCTACTGGGATGTGGTAATATTAAATGAATGCATGCCCAAGTTTGGGCTTAAATCCCTCACTTGGCTGTGGAAACTCACTGGAGGATGGCCATGGTGTGCCATGCTCATAAACCCTACTAAGGTGGCCACAAATCAGAAGTGATCTGACAGCAGGTAACTAACTAATCCGTATTTTATTGTTTTAATGTTTTTAGTCTTGAAGACACTTTGATTTAAAAGGAAATATAAAAATATTTTAATTGAACAAACACTGACTGAGTAAAATCTCCATATCAGTGATCTCTAAATTCCAGTCAGAAGAGCAATCCCTATTCAAATAAATTCCAAGCACTCCATATTTTATATTCTGCCAAAGCAAGTATGTGAATCCAAGCCATCAAAAGAACTCATTTAACTTTTTGGCTGCAACCCTGTATAAAATATTATATATAGTGGTGCCTCACACAGCGAGGTTAATCCGTCCCGGTAAGAAAAAAGCCATTGGAATGCATTAAACTTAGTTTAATGCGTTCCAATTGGCTGATTTACTCACCGTTCAGCGAAGTTTTTCAATGGCTGGCAGCCATTTTCGCGCCCTCCCCTCGCTGAACAAGGGTGCGAAAAGGCTGCGATCAGCTGTCCGGCGGGTCCAAAATGGCCGCCGGAACAGCCGAAGGGGCGGGGTGCAGTGTTTTCCTCGCTTAACGAGGGCTCGAAAACGCTGCGCGCGGCCATTTCGGCTGTTCCAGCGGCCATTTTGTTGTTGCGGAACAGCTAATCGGCGGGTCGCAAAGCGAAGGTCAGTAAGCGAACCGCTTACCGACCTTCGCATTGCGATTTTCGCCCAT